GTCAACTCTAGCCTCGCTGCCATACAAAGGCCAGGTCACTGAGCAGACAACTGTAAAATGGTCTATTTAGCGGGAAAACGGCCCACCGCCACGTCATGGTGTTCCCCATTCCTTTACGACAAATAGTATGTTTGTTGTTTTCAGATGCAGCAACAGTCGCAGCTGGCTTCATTAGAGGCCTTGGCCAAACAAAATGCGGAAGACGCTCAGCGAATAAGACGTGAAAGGGACGAGGCTTTACGTGAAGTTCAACACCTAAAGAAGCTATTGAAAAAGAAAGAGGAAGAATGCTTGACCGCTGAAGAAGAACTCATGAAAGCGAGAAGGGTAAGAGGCAGTATTATATGGCAAGGTAGTTTTGAGTTGAATCCGAACGTTCTGATTGGTTCTTTTTTGGTCGGGGATTTGCCATACGGACCGTTTCCGTGGACACGGTCATAAGCCGTGCATTTTTTGTTTTCAAAGGCTGGCAAAATCAAGGCTCGGGTCCTATATAATAAACTACTGATTAAGTGAGTTTACGAACCTAGCTTGCACGGGCCGTACTGGGGAATGTTGGTCCTCGGTCGTTTTTTTACGGAACTTGCTGTGCTCGGTCGATACTGCCGCGACTTTGAGCCAATGTTCCCCAGTACGGCCCGAGCGCTCGGTCAATAAGAGGTTAGTATTTTCTTTTGTTATCTTTTCATTTTAATGTAGTAAAGAATTTTATCATATAGACACGATTGTTTTACTGGAAAATACACCACTCGTAAAATTCATACGAAACTACATCCGGGACTCGAGTGGCGTATTTTCCATCTCATTAGTGAAGATATTGATGATTTCACGATATCAAGTTTGTCTCTGAAATTGAAGTTAAATCCGTTGGTGTATGATCGAAACATCTTCGGATCTTCCTTGAAAGTCTTCGGCAATTTTCGGTAATCCTCGGAAATTTTTGGAAAATGGTCGGCAACATTCGTGTGACCTTCGGACAAGTTTTGGAGAATCTTCGAAAATCTTCGGAAAGTAGTCGGAAATCTTCGGAAAATCGTCAAAAACGCCGTCATCAGT